TTTCTAGGAAGATCAATGGGATGATCCTCAATACTATTAGAGAAGTTTCGTTTTTTAACATGGTGGGTGTCAGATGCCATAATCTCTTAAGTGCCTAAGAAAATAAAAATAATAGAAAATTTAAAAAAAATTCAAGAACCTGATCTTTTATAGCATGTACATACACATACATCAACAGCTCTGTGCTGTGCAAATGAGGCTCAACAGTAAAAAAGGACATACTTCGTGTGTGTGTGTGTGTGTGTGTGTGTGTGTGTGTGTGTGTGTGTATGTGTGTACATCAAATCTACAATATACAGAGATTATGGTTTTCCTGAGAAGCAGTCCAGGCTGACCTGAAACTCAATGTTTCAACTTTGCCATTGCCTCCTAAATTCTACAAATGCAAGTATGAGCCTTGTTTTAAATATTTCTGAAACCTGAAACATAGAAGAAGCACAACATACAATATCCCAGGAAATTTAAGGGTCTCTACCTTCTCATGGCTTAGTCTGGAGGCTGTTTTGCTATAGAGTGAGAAACAAGGCAAGACAAAACCACAGAAGTTAGACTATAATAGGGTCTCTAAATATAAACCTCATTTTAAAAAAACGCCCAAAGAATGCCCTTAGTTAGAGACAATGGACTAAACATTTCCAACTACTTCTGTCCTTCTGAAACTTCATTAAAATGAGAAGTAGTTTTTAAAGGCATAATATTACCATTATGGAAAAAAAAAGAAGAGATAAGAGCAACAATTTAGAAACTGCAAAGCCAAAGTGGTAACTGACTTAGAAGGTCTTTTCAATGTAACACACACACACACACACACACACACACACACACACAGCAAAGAAATGTGAAAAGCAGAATCAAAGTTCAGAAACTGGCACTATCAAGAACATCAGAAAGTCAGGATAAAGGAAATCCAGAAAACAAGTACACTGATTGAATATCATCAATGCACGGTTAGATCAATAAACCCCCTTCCCCAGCCCAGTCAAAATTCAAAGTGGTTTTTATTGTTTGCTTGCTTCCTTTTGACAAAATGCCTGATTTGTACCCCAGGCTGGCTTTATATTCCAGATTCTCCTACCTGGGTATCCAGATGGTTGGGGTTAGTATGTGCCAGGACTACAATTTTATTCTATGAAAAATGTAAACTCAAGTTCTTAGAATAATATCAGGCATAAATGCAGTTGAAAGAACATATTCTAAAAAAATCAAGAAACAAGTAAGAGTTTACATGCTAAATTTTGAATCCCTTTACCTTCTTTCTTCCACTTGGCTTATGAAGGCTTACAATCAAGATCATATACTCTAACAAGAGTATAAAACGATGGTTCTTTGGAACACTGACCAGCCCCACAGTAAATCATACATACACATAAACCTATGGATACATACACATACACACATCCCTTAAAAACATGGATATAGTGGTAGTAAAAGTTGCCAAAGAAGTTTCTGTATCTAGTTTACAGTGGTGCTTACACACACACACACACACACACACACACACACACACACACACACACGAGAGTCTTAATCTAAGAGTGGTAGCTTATGCCTGGAATCATACATTTGGGGGTAGAGACAGAAGGATCTTCATAAGTATAATAACAATCAGAGATGCATAAAGTGAGACCCAGTTTCAAAAAACAAAGCAATTAAAATATTGTTAGAAATTTTAAAATAGTATATATTAAGACCGAAACAAACATGCAAACAAACAATAAGAAAAAACATCAAATAGATAGAAATGTAGAGATGGCTCAGCAGTGTAGAGCACTGGCTGCTCTTCCAGATGGCTTGGATTCAATTTCCAGCACCCACATGGGTAGCTCACATGGTCTGCAATTCCAGTTACAGGGGATCTGACATTCTCTTCCTGCCTCAGTGGGCACTGAATGCATGTGGTGCACAGACATACATGCAGGCAAAACACCCATCCACATTAAAAAAAAAATTAAAAAACAAACCAAAAACCTCAACAGAAACTGAAAAGAGAATTTTCAGGGCATCTTCTAGAACATACAGGCAAATGATAAAAAGAATAAGAAGATGGGCTTAGAGGGAACCAACATCCAAACAAAAAGAAGTACAAGGAAGAATAAAGAGACCAATTAGAAATCAATAAGGAAATTTAAGAAAACTATACAAAACTGAGGGTCACAAATTTCTAGATGAAAATAGCTCCACCTGAGTCACCATAATGAATGAAAACAGACCTAGAAGGTACATCTCCAAATTTCAGAGAATTAAAAAA